TATCTTTACATATACGCTTTTTGTAAGTACCTGCTTATACTTGGCTACTTATCTACCTTTACACACACATAGACTAACGTATATCCATAACTAGCTATCTACCGTCATACTGCTGTATACTTCGTGGTCTATTTTATATGCTCGTATACGTGCCTGGTCCGGTTCGGTTCTGTCATTGCAGTCACGTAAATATTTTATTATTGTTGGTATATGTTAAAATAGGTATACCTACATACGTTTATGTACGCTGCAAACACAAAAACAGCCGGCAACTACGCCAGTCCCGCCGAATCGGACTCACGACTATGGAATACTAAAACTTTATGTACAGAACTGGGGAGAACGCTATTGTATTGGTAGGTGCACTTCTGCAACTTATGTGAGCATTTACGTTATGATAATAATATATAGAAACATGTCGTATTATTATTATTATTATTATTATTATTATTATTATTATTATTATTATTATTATTATATATATTTGGCTGCCCAACCTTCGTTGATCGTATTTCACTTTATAAACGACCAGTTCGATGCTCGTAACGTATACGTTCAACTACATTGCATGTACACGGATCGTCTGTGCTTGGGTATAGTGTTATTATTATTATTATATGGATATATTATGTAAGACATACCTAATTTTTTTCCGCTTCTATTGTGATTAAATATACCAAAAAGAAAAAAATGTTTCAATGTCTAATATATTATATTAAATTATTTTAATATCGTTATAGACTATTAGTTGTGACATTTATGATATTGTTCAGCTTTTCTCTATTTTGCCGATGAGCACTTACTAACAATTTCATTTTAGCTGTGATGAAAAATCGCTATGAGATCGATTTTGGCTTTCATCATAACGTATTATAGTATACCTACAACAGTGTTGTAGAGCATCATCGATATTAATTGTGTTTGTGTGTGAAATTAATGTATATTACTTATATACATTGAATATCGACTGTATGGTTATTAATCATTGGTTAATTTATACACTTACACACACGTATTTAGTAATTAGGAATTTGAAACTTTATAAGAACTTTGTAGGTACTCAAAACAATTAAATTTATTATGAACGAAGTAGAATAAAATAAAATCTTTAAGTGAATAGTAAAATTTCACTCAAAAAATATTGTGTGAACGTTTAATCATCCATATAATCCTTAACCTCTAAATTTGAGAATAAAGAATGAGAGTTTTTTGGAGTAAACACATTTTATAGGACTCCGTATGTTATAAAAATTTAATAATACTATAAACTATGTAGGTAAAAATTTTTTTCAAAATTGTTTATAAATCTGTAAAATTGTGTATACCCACGATATCTACATAATATCTTTAATATCAAACTTATAACTTATAAGAAATCATATGGTTAAGTCTTCTCTAATCCTCTATACAACAAATTGTCAGCTCTACCTCAAAGAAAACTGCTCCAAAGTCCTGTAATATTATCGTCGATATCGTTATTAATTTTTTTCAAAAAATTAATATATTTTCAGAATTTGGTATTTTTTCAATATATTACTATAATAAAACGGAAAAAAAATATTGCAACATTTATTGTGTGCATAGCGCACACTGCACTATGCACAAATATTATAAATTATAAGACATTATATCAAACGATGTTAATCTCAAAATGCTAAATACTAATAAATAATATAATTGAAAATTTAATAAATATTATATTGACTTAATTACATTTAGATACCTGCATGTAAAAAAAATAATTTACCTATTCTACCAATAAATAAGTAAATTATTATATTATACGTTGTGGGTACCTAAAAAACCGTGCAGATTAACACATATACTTAGTATAACATTATTACAATAGAAATAAATAATAATATATTACAATTTTATTATAAAAATTAATATTAATTTTAGGTATACTCGTATAATACATGTAATTTAATTCAAATACAAAAAATGATTATATAAACATAATAATTAATAATTATCATAAACGTTATCGTAAAAAGTTATTAATCTATTATATACATTCGCGTTTTTTGTTAATACCAATAAAAAATAAAAATATCTCAGTAATAGGTGTTAGACCTAGCGGCCTTGCTACCTAGACACAGTTGCCTGCTCAGAGAGCGATGCCGCTCGTAGCTTTGTAGGGGGGGATTCGAACTAGCGACGGTGTGCGTCACAATTGACGCTTTAGTCCGCTCGGCTACTCCGTCCCCATTATATAATTGGTTTTTTAAATAGTAACCCATTAATACAATAATAAAGATGAGTAGAAATTAAATTGAAAACTGAAAAACTAAAATCAAAATTAATCGTTTAAAAGAAGAAATGTATAAAAAACGTTTTTAATTATATTTAAATTTTACGATAACATTATACTTATATAGTCGAACTTGGTTATCTCAAACTTCTTTAACTCAAAATCGTCGATGACTTGAACTTTTTCTCCGGTCCTTAGAATCCTGGATAACACGATGTTTTGAGTTTTATTAATATTATTAAATTGTGATATTTCCCTCATGTATCTATGTATATATTTTAATATCGAAAATATTCATTAGTGTTATCATTATCGATAAGTGGTTTAGAACGATTCACTACAAATACTGCGATCAACAGCAAAATTCAAACAAAAATAAATATCTTTTTTAAATGATTTTTTAACCTCATTTATGTTTATACATACATACCTTTTTAAAACTATATATACATAATTCATATATAAATACATAGAAATCAATATATTTTGTACTGTTTTAAAAATTTTTAATTTAGATTACTCGAAATTTTTTCCGGTCACTTCAATTTCGAGTTAACCAAGTTCGACTGTACAATACAGTCCCGGATAGTTTGACTACGTTACACTGTACAGCATATCTGCCAAAATTATATTATAAGTAGGTATATTATATTGTTATCGTACTTATACGCACTGGTGGCAGGAATTACTCGTTTCCACTAAAAAATGAAAAAGGTACGATTCCCGTTTTCGTCAAAATATATGTTTCCACCAAAAAAACTTTGGAAACCAATGGTTTTAATTTTTAAGCAATATATGTCGTAATAAGTATAAAATATAATAATGTATCATGTAGGTATAATATCAATGACATTTGTAAATAACTGCGAAGATCATAGGTACAAAAATATATACAGCAATAATCTTCGATAATTTTTGATAATTAATTGTCATTCGTCGATAATGTAAGGAAGTATAAACTTTATCATAGTTTATTTATAATTCGCACATAATAATTATCTGACAAATGTTAAATTCTTATACTTCGATTCAGTATCTGTTCTGTTTATCAAAAAAATGATAACGTTCTTTAAACGGAATTTGTTGTAAGCAAAAGAGGTAAAAAAATTTTGATCTTTGATGGTTTTAAATATGTTTTTGATTATAATAAAAAATTGTACGACCAATATTTTGGAAATAGAAAATGTAATACTTGAAACGAAAGGTATATTTGTACATGGTTTCCAAAATAATAATTTGCGGAAACGGGAATTATACCTTTTTCATTTTGGCGCAAAAAGACTGCGTAAATTAGGGAACCGATTTTTTGGCGAAAACGTGCAATGCCCCCAGTGGCACCGGGAAAATGAGACGTCTAACTTATCATTACACTATCGAAATCATGAAATATTATTATTTATCATGAATTTTGGTACATTTCATTGCATTGTGATTAACTGAACTAACTGCCAAGCAATACCGATGGAATTATATTTAATAATATGAAACATAAAAAAACGAATGTATTATTATTTGAACTGGCCACAGCGATCGAACAGTTATATTATTCAAATGTTTCGATCAATGCTTGTTACGTACCTACTTAATTAATGGTAATTGTAATACAACCTATTATAGCAATTTATCAAAAATTAAAAGTATAAATATGGTTTTGTAAATACAATTTGATAACTACAGATAAATATTATTTTGTCGAGTAACTGCTTAGGTAAATAATATATATAATTAAATTTCTAATCCTAGCTATTACTCAAACTGTGGGCAATAATATTAAAATAATTTAATACCTATACTTATTATGATTATACATAAATAAATATATATAAACATATACATCATAAAATTATAGCGTGTTATAATAATTAATAATCCATTTGAATAAAAAAATCTATTTAACTACTTCTATTTTATTTTATATATTATTGATTAAGCAATATTTGATGTTTGTTTTTGTTAGGATATATTTTTTTAGTGTTAAGCTTTTCGAACCATCCCACCCATAACTATGTAGTTGCTCCCATTTAGTCTACCTACAATATGAATTATTACACTACATGCGCCTATGCAGGCCGGACACGTATCGCAGAAATATTAAATAAAATAAAAAGAAATTATTCAAAAAAAAAAAGAGTTATTTTTGTTAAATTCATTTGTGATATAATCGTATAATATTCAATCATAATGTAATAACTAATGATTTTTTAAAAATATTAAGTACATATTGTACAATATAAAATAAAATACATTCTTCACTCCGTTCAGAATCTAAAATATCAATCATATTACATTTTACGTAATAATAATAATAACAACCAATTTTTATTTTTATAACATTAAAATGCAAATTGTTTTTCAAATAATAATCAATGTAATTTTTTTTAACTTTATGGACAGTTATAAAAATACCTTTATTATAACATATTATAATATTATGCTTTTAAATCTGAATTACATCATGTTGATAAATTGGTTATTATAAAATTGTTGCGTGTCATGTAAATTTGATGTAAATAGACTGTAGGAAATACAGATTTTTTTTGATTTTTTTCTTTGGGTAACGCCTAAAACGTATTCGTATTGGTACTTCTCTTTGTACCCTTCACGATCTCACGAATCACGTTAAAAGAATTTCATAAAACGAGGAAAAAATAAAAACGAAATTTTATTTATTATATCTTTCATACAAGCTATAGGTATATTAAAATTATTACTTTTGTTGTTGCTTATATATTATTGCCATGTACCTATTTTAATATCATTAGCATTGATGCGTCGCCTTCACAAGTTTTATTTATCTTTGGCTTGAGGTAGTTTATTGGTCGCCAGCTGTCCACCTGTCTGTTGTACGTAGCAGCTTATCGACTTGGTCAATGGAGTCCTCGGTAGATCGTCGTCATCCCCGCTGTCCGGAAGTATAGTTACCTTATCCGTATTGACCATCAGCTGACGCTTCTCACGCCGGATTTCGTCGTTCTTTGCACTCTTCTGACCGAGTATCGGCATGCTTATGGTTGTTTTCAGCGGTTGTTTGAGGTCTGATGCGTTCATCACGTCATCCACATTACGCTTATCCATAATAGTTTACTATAATATATTAAATTTTTATAAATCACTGCAGCAATTATTAGATTAATATTTGAATTTTACCTATTGACGATCACGTACAGTCGTTAGTGTATTACGATTTACGACTAATATATTTTAACCGGATCGTCACTTACAATCTGCCGACGACGTTATAACTTGCTGTGCAGGTGTGATATAATATATATTATTATATCAATAGGTAAGATGATAAAAATAATATACTATTGCACACTATAAAAAGTTTCCGGTTATGACGACTACGACAACAATCACTGCTGATTGACCGCTAAGCTGCAATCGATTAATCGATGAGCTTTGTTCGGAATTATATGTATAATAACGTTTTACTTACATATTTTACGTAATAAATGTAGGTTTATTTTATTACATTACTATTTTATTTTATAAGCCGTTTGCATGTTATAAAGCTTGTTATTTTCTCCGTTGCCTCGTTACAGCGTGTGATCTCTGATTGTCTAAATGGACAACAACCGACTGTACCTTACGAATATTATAAACCTAATATATTAATTCATTAATTAAATTATTATTAGTCAGGAATGAATATGAAGTTACTACAGGGAAATATGAAGAAATATTAAATGGAAACGGTCAAAGGGGAAAACAGCAGAGAAATACTTGGCCACATTATGTTTGTATTCTCTATGCAACACCGCTCGTTTAAATTTTCAAAAACTATTACAAATATTTAGTAATTAATTTGATAAATTCATCATAATTTATAAGTCAAAACATTCATAAAAAAAATTCTACTTTAGCTAATACCAAATAAAAATATTAAAGGTTATCACTAAAAAAATTTACTACGATACTAATTCAAATTTCTACACAAAATGGTATCGAAAGATTAATATAAATTTTATACTTATAGTTATAAGTAAAGATCGGATTTATATGCATTTTAAATTGTAAAATATGCATGCAAACATGCACTAAAAAAAGTCAAAATATGCAAGGAAAAAATGCAAAACATGCAAAATAAAATTTCAATTTTATATTTGATTTTAATTTTGCAGTGATAATTATTTATTAATTTTATTACATTTTTCATAAACAAAAAGTTACATGTATAATATAGTACAAAAATTTAATTTTTTGTTAAATTGTAATTTAATTTTTAAACATTGATATATTGTAAAAAATATTTTATTAAAATTAAATAGTAGATACATTGGTGATATACTGATATAAATAGGAAAAAAGTACGAAAATTTTTATTGAAGGTAGTAAATTATTAATTTGAAAAACAATAAGTTATCAAAGTATGTTCCATGTTTATTTCCGTGAAATTATGACGGCGATCTGTAAGAATGTACTTGTATGATGAAAAACTACGTTCGACATCAACACTGGTGATTGGAGCATATTTAAAATTTGCTATTATATCCAGCGAATAATTTGGAACAGATAAATCGTCGAAATTAGCACTGTCACCTTGAAGTATTTTTGAAATTTCTTTTAAAACCATTAATCCTTTATTTTTATTCAAAACGTTTTTACATTTTGTTTTAATTATTGTACTATTTGCACTAGTAGGAAGTTCATTAACAGAGTATTCCACTTGTTCTAAAATTTTTAACGAGTCTACAAGGGACAAATTAGAGGTTTCAAGCTTTTTGATACTTTCAACGATACATAAAAAATTTGCTTTAATGTAAGCAAGATCATATTTTACATTAAATTTATTAAAAATTGATTTACAATTTTGAATGCATTTTGTATTATCTTCTAAGTTTTCAATCACATTTTTGAACTCTTCAAAATGATCTGCGTAAAAAAAGGCTGACTCTAGCCAAGTACCCCAACGGGTAATTATTGGCTGCGGTGGTAAATGTGTAATTGGCAACATTTCTTTATATAATTGAATTCTATACGGAGCCTTTGAGATATTCTTTGAGACGTAAAATATTTGATATTATAATATTATATAAACGTACCTATGATCTATGTTTTTATTTGTATATTTGTACGGTTTTTGTTAAAATATGCAAAAATATGCAGATCATGCATTAACGTCAGAATATGCAAAAATATGCAGTATAAAATTTTGATATTTAATCAATCAAGTAATGATTTGTGGACACTCATTGACTGCATGTATATGATGTTGAAAATAACAACATGCATTTTATGCAAAATCCGGTCTTTAGTTATAAGTAATTATAACATTGAAATAAAACAGATTGATTTGTCAAAAAAAAAATTAATAACTTTTTAAGGCTAAAGATCAACATTATTTTTATTTAGAGAGTGTATTATAAATCTGATAAACAATCATTTATTTAACTATTGGAATGTAAGGTGGGAAAGAGAAATGGATCTCATGATCATCTTGTATGAATCGGATTTCCGGTATCTAACTTATCTAAATTGAGTATCAGATTGCCATAATCAATTTAAAGAAATATCAGCGGGATAAGTGGCTTGTAAACATTTCAATAAAAATACTTATAAATAAAATAATTTCTTGATTAATATGCAAAATTTATAAAAGTATCATAATAATTAAATAACTGAAAAACTAAAAAATAAGATATTTTTTTCAAAAACATATTAGTATCATAAAAATTACTTCAAACTAAAATAATATGTGAAATTTTTACTTAAGTACAATATTTTTACAAAATTATGTCATCATGTCCTACTGAGTGTATACATTGTACGTATATAGATTCTAGGTACTATAATAATAATATTATGCATGTACGTGGAAAATGATGTGCAATTGAGTAAACCCTGCTGTGGCAGCGGTATATTTTAAAAATGAATTATTCAACGGAATAAAAGTGTGTGGCTGATAATGTACATTTATATAGTAATATAGTGTATATGTATAATAGTATCTCACAACTCTCAACAGTAGTAGTAAGAACAAAAGGCTTGGTTAGCGGAAAAGCAATACATTTTCTTTAATCTCGACGACGGACGAAGGGGTTAAAATATATTTCAAGTTTAACAGTAAGCGAAAAAATAACGTATGGTCAACACACGAGAAAATGTGCAATATTATTTATATTATATATTATAGATCTAATCCATATGTTATAACTTCGTCAGATTGTTTTTTTCTATACAATATATTTATATAACGCATGTATATTGCGTACTTCTAGGGTGTAGTTGCACATAGTACGCAAGTTATGTGGAAGAATGTGAAAGCAAAAACCTTAAGAAGAAAGATGATAATATACGGTTTGCAAATAATACATTATTATTACAATTTTTTCTCAAGCTAAAATGAGGACTGTAAAAATGAATCAATCGTAAATATTATATTGTGTAGGTGTCAGTTGGATATTATCCAAGAGGGTTTGAGGCTGATGCAGTATACTGTATAATAGTGTATAATGTATTTTATAGCGTCAAATGTGCCGGAAATTTTAGGATATTTTTGACAGCCAATTGAACCGAAGACGGAATTATATTATTATCATAATTATTATTATTACATTGAAATACGCGTGCAGTATATTATTGCAAAGTAATTGCACCCGAAAGAACGCGAGTTTTTTTTTTTTGAGCCGTTATATATTATTATTGTTGTAGTCGTGTTAACTATCCGAAACAATCGGATCACGCGATCCATTGGAAACGGCTAATTTTTTAAATAAAATTGTATAATATTCATTACTGGTTTTTTTGTTTTTATTTTATTTGTCTTTTAACGCTCGTAAAATAAGTCTTTAAACGTATATAAAGTACCATAGTAGACTGCTGCGAACAGATCGTTAAAAACTCGATCCATTTGTACCCGACGACGAGCACTGTGAAAATATTATTATTATGTAATTTTAAACTTTGAATTTGCAATATTATAATATTAAATTTGTATTCGTATTTTAAGTAGTGTAAATAATTTTATATATTTATATTATATGCTATAAGTACGTAATTTATTTTATCAAGGTTTTTAATATTAGGTATTCATAAATGGGTTTGAGTGTTTATATTATTGATACGCTTTTAATAAAACAAGTATAGGCATGTTTTCTAACATAAAATACGTAAATATAAATAAATAGGTAGATGTGGTTTACCATTTTAAATAATAAAACATTTTTGACAGTTTAATTTAAATTAAATTTATTATTAAATTGAAAAAAACATATTTAATACGTTTATATGTAAGTATAATACTTATATTAATAAAAAATTAAATAACAAGTTTAATAATTGAGTAAGTTAATAATATCAACAAGTTCATATAGTTAAACAAGTTTCTGTATTAGAACCACTTAATGTAAGTTTTTAATTTTTATTAATTTGTTTACCAATATTAATTACTCCTAAATATAAAATAAAAAACAGTTAATAAGAAAAATTACAATCTGATTTCTTACTCTCTGAGTCATATAATTTCGTTGGTATAGTGTGTATGGGACAAAAATTAAAACTTAGACGTATAAAAACATCCTTTTCATAGAAAATTTATATTGCATATTGTACCATGAAGGTATGATATAGTCGGTACCTATTATAGTACTTACGTAAAATCAAATAGGTACGTGAATTTATAGTTCTGTAGATAGGTATATTCTAGTTAGCTTCCAATACATTAGTTAGCATTCTGATTGAGAAATTCAAATTATATTTAAAAACAAGCATTATTCATTGACCACATACAAAATAAAATCGATTTATGTTTCGCATCAAACCTTCCATAAATGATTAATTTTTATATAGGTACTAGGTAGTTGTTTTTCCTATGCCAATTTTAATATTTACAAGATTGAGTTTATTTTTTTTTAGTTACAATTTCTATATCATTGATTTTATAAAATCAATATCGTAACTTATAGAATAAAGTACTATTGTAATCGTGTATTATACATATATTATTATAAATATATTAAAATGGTATTAATTTCTAACGACTTTTTAGTTTTTCGAGTTTGTTTTTATACTAGCCTATAATAAAAAAATAAACAAAGCTAATCATTTTTCATAAGTATAATTTTTAAATTTATAAGCTCGAATGTAATAAATACCGTGATTATAATTTGTAGCAATTCTATTATTATTGTTTTAATGAATATCTAAATCTATAGATGATGGTGATTTAGTTGATTTTAGATTCGATCGTATCCATGCTACGAAATACTTACTAAGTTGAGTTTAATTAATGAATAATGAGTTAACTAGAATTTAGATTATAATTTTTAAGATATTTATACCATAAATACCCATAGGCGCACATAGAGGGGTGCTTGGGAGTGCTTAGCACCCCTAGTTTCC